CAAAACGGTCTTCATAAGCCCTATGCAAGAATCTTTGCTCAGAAACCCTCTTCGTTTGAGACGACACTTTTCCAAGACTCAAGATTTTCCTCGAGTTCTGATTTTCCGGCAGTTTTTATCTTCAAGTAACTTTAGTCGCTGTGGACTTTTCCTTCGTCAGAAGAACCAGAAGTAAAAACTTCCAGCTCACTCCCCACGAACTCATCAAAAGACCTCCGGTGTCTACCGCATCAAGACTCTTCTTCAGCAAACGAAAACCAATGCAAGTAACCGCTTAAAATTATTTAGATGCTTGTTTAAGTTTCAGCCCCTTTTTAAGGTGATTTTTGATTCTTTGATGATTTTCAAAGGTTGTGGTTAATTGATGTAAAATACTGCCATCCTTTACTTTCCTCTCTCTTTTCCTTACTTTGTTTCATTCTGTATATATACGTGTTTTGCTTAGTTATATGTTAGATATAGTTTCATTTATTAAATCCCTTATATTCACAACTGATTGTCTCTGTTTGCTGCTCACAATTCGAAGTCAATGAATGTTTTGAACCCTTGCTACATATGTTAAATTACTGCTAGCACTGCATAAATGAGGAAAGTTATCCTTCTTTGGCCAGGAAAATAATCTTTCTTTGAATTGATAAATGATTATTTTGTCTGCTCGGTGGACGGACAGATCAAGTAATGGTGATATTGATTCTGCTACAGTTAATTCGAAGATCTAATCTAACTATTTATTATTAATCATAACCAGTTATAATTAGTCATAAATATTTCCCTTTTGAGCTGATTTACTACAGAAATGACATGAAGTCAGGGACAAAGACAGAAAAATAGTCCACAGTGAATCATTAAACTAAACACAATTCCGCACAAAACCTTAATCAGGATCATACAGCGAACACTGTAGTCAATTACAGTGCTTGAGCTGTATGTTTATGATTCACTGAAAACAATGACTCATAAGAGTCATTTGTTCAGTAAGCGGATTAAGGCTATCACTAACAATATTTTGGTAATTGAGTAATCAGTCGATTATTCTGATGATTAATCGGATAATTTTTTGTGGTAATAAAAATAGACCTAAGCAAACAACAGACTTTAAAATGGCTTAAAATACACATATAATAGCAACGAGGCAATAATAATTGGTTCAAATAAAATATCAAAAGCAAGTAATCATATGGTTTTATTGAACAAAATGTAATAAAACGATATAATCGTAACTAACATTGTATTATATCAAATGCCTGACGATTGTTTTTACTCTTTACAGCACGATCTAATCCTTGTTTAAAATATTGACTAAACAACATTTAATTAAAATGTCCACTTAATCTTTTATATTTGGCCACATCTTTATGATAGAAATGCTACAGCCATTGTCATTTCTTGAACAAAAACATGTGGACATCAAAACATGCTAACTCAGAGCAAAGGTTTAAACTTATTTTGAAGTCGTCTGTGGAATGCGCCACTTCCAGTATTTTGCCAGTTAATCAACACGGGTAATTGTAATTGAGGGTTTTTTTTGTAATCGAGTACTTGATTTTAATCAAGGAATTGTGACAGCCCTAAAGCTGATTAAACATTTTGCGCTGTATGGTTTTGATTTACTTAAGTGTTTTTCGTCAAGGAATCTAACTACACTTATGCTGTAGATTCAGTAGCGATGTTATGGTGCTAAACAGTACTGAAAAAAAAAACACTGGCTGCATCCGAATATGCTTAGTTCCTTACTATATAGTAGGCAAAAACGGTATGTGGAGTAATATGTATTCATAAAACATCTTCTGGCGAGATTCTGAAGTGCGCATCTAATGATAATGGACGCTTTACTGTCCCATGAGGCCACGGGAGAGGATTTGAGAATTGCATTGAAGTGACTTGACTAATGCTGTAGGTCACATGATGACAACATGATAAATGTAGTACAATTACTTTCCTATTACACACATTGATATTACACAGAACATACTCTTTTAATGGTTGCAAAGTATTTATTCAGACTATTCTGAGATTTCAGACGCAGCCACTGTCACTGTGTTCCAACTCACATTCCTTGTGCAGCACTGCCAATAGAATTAAAATATGCAATATAATTTTACAGTACACGTTAAACTGCTGATGACCAGCTAAAAAAAAAGGAAACCTAGTCATCACGTTTGCTTGATAACTGCAGATACCAGAAAAAAAAGACTATACGTAAAACATTGTTTTTATATGGAGCAACTCAACACACAGGAATGCATATCTTGAAGTTTCTCCATCTACAAAAGCAGTGCCTTAAACGACAATTTACAGCTTTACAACTCCTATTACACACATTTTATTACTGAAGAATTGCTTTAATAAAAATATGAGCTGCACATTTCTGTTAAAGCCCTCTGGTTTTCTTGTCTGCCAGGTATCCATTGTAAGTCCATTACCGTTAACATTTCCTGTTCGTTTACACTGAGGTTTGAAAATAACATAGATTATTCCTTTAACTGATGAAACCATATTAATGTCTTTTCATTGGGCCTAAGTATTCAATCAATTCCCTACAAACACTTTTCAAATCTCTTTTCATAGCTTTTAAAGGTTTTATGAATGTACATACAATGTACATGTGCATTAAAAACAGACGTATTTGAAAAGAATTAAGGTAAAGTGTTATTCAGTGACCCTAAAGACGAGTCTTGTGTTCAGTGGTGTTGAGAGACTGCTCTTCAGACTCTCTTCTCATTTATTTTCCTTCTGAACACAACACAGGTTAGATCAATTATACATGATTCAAGACTGCTGGAATGGACTCAAACACACACACACACACACACACACACACACGCACAATGCAGATTGCAGACTGGTTTTGCTGGGTTCAGTCCATAATAAAAGCTTAAACAGGGACGGCCAGCAGTGTGCAAAGCTTCACAAATACTCCCTCTCTGAAACCATTATAACACAAGTCACGTCAAGAGCAGCACTTGTGTGTGTGTGTGTGTGTTTCGCTAAGTACATAAATCAGTAGCTGTTGAAGTCAGAAGTGTAAAACAGTAGGCACAGAAGCAGAAAGGCATGATGATGATGTCAATGCGGTGTGCTAATCCTTACAGCCGCCTCTATGAGATTACAGCCGGTTTATTTTTAAACCTATTAAAATAAAGTTTCATTTCCATTCCTGTCTGTGATTACTGTCTGCAAACTGACGCAATTCAGCATCAGTCTCCAAGTGAGGTTCAGTCAAGTGTTGAAAACATTTCAAATTTTGACCTCTGCTGCCATCATGTGTCTGAACACAGTTCTGCCAAAGTGTGGATCATGATAAAGAATATCTCTTTGGTTTTGAGACTTTAGTCTTTGCAACTTCAGGGATCTTATCTATGCACAATCAGCTTGTAACACTCCAAAGAGAAAGGAAAAATTGAAATCGCATCATATGACCCCTTTAAATTAATTTATCACTCACTTCGAGATTACAACGCACTTACCAAAAGTGGGCAAATAGATAAAGATCAAACAAAGACTTATATTAAAAACATCTGGCACTTCCTAATGTACATGGCTTAGGATCTTCACACAATGATGACACAATCCCTTAAATGTGATACCAGCTTGCAATTAAGAACTTCAAGATGGTTTCTGTTGAATCTTACAAAACCACACAGAGATTACAAAAGTCAATATAAGCTTATATGTTCATTGTATACGGATCTTATGAAGATCTGAGATGACCGAACACCTGAGAAGAGATGATGCCAACCCCTCAGACGACCTCAGATAATGCCAACCCTTAAACAACATACAAAACTACGAAACTTTGCTATAAGTGTAATCGCAACATATAATCATTGCAGTTAATAGTGTTCACCGTCTGTTTGATTACATGTCATTAACTAACTGCATGAATTTTACTGTACATTTCTGACATATGGACATCAACTTGACATAGTCACCACTGATAAGCTACTACTAAATATTACGTAGAAACTTTAAAATAGAAACTTTTTGCAACGATTTGTATTGTGAAAAGCGCTATACAAATAAACTTGAATTTAATTTAATATACATGAAAGATTCAGCCAGAATAAACGAGATACTTAAATTAGAGAGTATTTTCTAATGGATTTCAACATCATAATCACACAGTAACTTTGACCCATAACTCACATTACCATTATTATAACACTCAAAAGAATATATTTGTTCCATGAAATTCTAAGGGAAGAGAGAAATCAAAGCAGATGCATTTTAATTCAGTACACTTGGTTTGCTTTAACTGATTTTAATTCCATTTGACCAGCCTAGTACAGACGGATAATATGACCAAAATCTTGCATCTCCCAATTATGGGGACGGTAAGATTTGTATGTTTTTGAAAGAAGTCTTATGCTCAGCATGGCTGCGTTTATTTGATAAAAAGTACAGTAAAAAAAAAAATAATACCGGGAAATTAATCTGTTTTCTATTTTAATACATTTTAAAATGTCATTTATTCCTGTGATGGTACAGCTAAACTTTCAGCAGCCATTACTCTAGTCTTCAGTGTCACATGATCCTTCAGAAATCATTCTAATATGATGATGACGGTGCTGAAAATGGTTGAAAAAGGTTGTTCTGCTTTTGCTACATTTTTCAGGATTCATTGATAAAAAAAAGTTTTACGGTATTAATTTGAAACATTATAAATGTCTTTACTATCATTTGTGATGAATTTAATGTATCCTTGTGGAAAAAAAAAAGTATTCATTTCCTTAAAAAAAAAAATCTTACTGACAAATGTTTAAACAGTCGTATATGTGCAAATAACAACACAGTTCTGCCCACTAATACTCACACGGTATAGGAGAAACTCTAACAGCAGATTCATTTCTACTGCTGCATGTATGTACCGTAATAACGCCTAACCCTAATGCCAATGATGTCTTTTAATAAAACATCCCTGAAGGAGAGCTTATTTGATCATGTGTTTATAGCATTCAAACAAACAGTTTAAAACAATCATCTTCCACTTTCATACTCACCAGTCATGGGGTCAAACAGCTGGTTGGCCTCAAGGTCAGTGAATGTGTTCATGCAGCAGGGGCAGCGGAAGGATGCTCTGTTAGTCGAGTCCCGCTCGTCCGTCTCAATGCGTCTGCGCATGTGGTCCAGCTTGTACTTCACCACATTAACCAGCAGCCGGTAGTTAATGAAATAGTAATTGTGTCGTGTCGTCTTGCCGTCAGGTGCCGTCTCCACACGCATACGACATTTGACAAACTTGTCAGCCTTGAGTGTGTTCAGAATCGAACGCAGCTGCTTGCGGTCGAACTTAAGCAGTTCCAGCATGTCCTCTTCACGTACGCAGGGGTTCCGGATCAGCACATCCAGAGCGAGAGCATGCTCGATGCCATAGAAACCTCGCACAACCTGCTTGGCCAGCCGTTTCAGAGACGCAGGGACCTCTGTGAGAAGCTCTGGTTCAGTCATGATGGACGGGAGGGAAAGAGTAGAACTAAACGAGGGAAAGATGGAGAAACAGAGCAAAAGCAGGAGGTGGAAGTATTTTCAAGACCAATAACGATATGTTTTTAGGAAGAACGGGAGTGGATTGTAATAGGAAGGGTCAGCTCGTCTGGTATTCAAGAAGGTAATCAGGTGGATGACTATGGGATTGTATGACGGAGGTCTGTGAATAGTGGGAGAACAGAAAAAGAGATCAGTTACACATATGATCCAATAACTGTCTATATGTCAACAGTTCTATTTATTAATTTCTTTTAAATATTTTTTTTATTATTTGCCCTGCTACAAATTAGTAAAGTTTTTCACAAAGTGAAATTTTCTAAATAAATAAGTAACTTCAATACAGCTAGAATTTTTTCCCTGGAAAAAAAAATCAATTTAATGCAATATATTGCTGATTTATTAATAATATTCATTACTATTTTATTGTTCAATAATAACTCCTTGTAAATGGTATTCCTAAGATTACCACAAGTTATTCTCACAGTTTCATTCTATGATCAATCCATGTTAGCCAGACAGATAATATTACCTTAATAATCAATTCAATTAAACACAACTCACAACAACAACAATGTTCAATCTATTATAGAAAGGCTGTCTGGAAGATTTGTTCCAACATGACATGCCATACAGAAAGCTAAGAACCATAAATGACCAGCTTTAACCAATAAATATTATCAGCTGGATTTAGCTGGGTTTTAATGTGACCAGCAGATATTCATGTGAACAGAAAGCTTAAAATACAAATGTGAGGGGGCTCATTTTAGGAGTCATATATTCACCCAGTTTCAATCACTGTAAATTAAGAGAGAAGATAAACATAGTAATATTTATTAGTCATTAACTTCGGCAACAAACGCATAATGTATGAATTAAATTAACCAAGCAAAGTGACAGTAACTGTAACGTTACAGCTCACTGCCCAATGAAGCATAATTTATCTCATTGTTGAGTTTAATATTAGATTATCGAAACGGAGTATAATGAAGGATACAGTTAGATTAATATCGTCATAAAAATAAACAACATAAAAGCCTGAACGATAGGAAAAAACACAGCTCAAACCTTTAATTTTCCTCCTGTTTAGATCTGAACAAGTTCCCTAGTTCAGCATCACGCTAACGTTCAGCGGAAATGACGCATGAGATGTTGCTGAAAAGTCCAGGGACGATTTAAATAAATAAATATATATAGCAAATAAATGTTCATATATTTATCTCGAAACTATAATGCAATTATAAACAACAACTATGTGTTATGTGTTAAGGGTCTATTTTGCGGTGTCTCAGTACCTTTATATAATATACCGATCACAAACGCTTTTGTCATAGAATGATGTGCACCCGCTTCCGCTTTTGTGCTTCCTTGTTGTTTCCACAGGCTGCTTCCACGTGTGTTCGGTGTAATGCCAGTAAACAGCAGGAGAGAGCAAGGAAAAGATGCTGCTGTGAGTCTGACAGTATTTATGTTCTGTTGGGTTTCATTTAAACCGGATCAGCTCAGATCCGAGAACTTAAAAAAGGTCAAATATGGCAGTCAAAATGATGCTATACCACTAACAAAAGGTACCATGGACATTAATAGTAATCTACTGTTTGGCCCATAGTAAGTACCCTAATAAAATTGCATAGAATTTTGGAAATCAAACAATATATGGTATTGCCAACTGAGTCGGTCACCATAATATTGTACTACCACAACCACAACCACAGTACCTTTTAATGAGCGTAATATATAAATGTATTTAAGTTATATTAATATTATATTACTTATATAACGTTTAATAACAATACGTTTTTAATAACAGCTTTCTGTACTCTGCATGTTGTTTTGACATGTTTTTTGCTGATCTTGAAGGAATAGTCAACCTAACAATAAATATTGTGTAATCATGTATTCACCCTCATGTTGTTCCAAACCTGTATTACTTACTTTCTTCTGTGGCATTATTAATTTGCATTAACTGTGGCATTAATTTTTGTCCATATTTTGACATTTTCTCTCAGGTGCAGGGGACAAATGACAGCAGTGTGGTCAGTAAGGTGTCCGCAGCAGCACAGGGCTACTTCCACGATGATTTCCTTAAGCATTTTGTGTGCAAGGTGTCAAGAAGAGCTCCACTGATTAATAGGTAAATGTTTAAGAGACAGTTCTTGCTCCTTCAGTGATTCTTTTTTTATAAAACAGATATGATATTTCTGAATACATGTATATTTTCTCTCAGAGGTTATTATGTGCGCTGGAAAGCAGTCGATCACTGTCTGAAACAGTTTTTCCATGCCACTCAATCCTGCTCAAGGAGACAGGTGGGATGATATGTCCCCGTTTTGTGTATGTGTTTTTACTGTAAAAAAAAGAATATCTTGATCATATTGTTCTCTTAATCTCAGATTCTGTCACTTGGAGCCGGGTTTGACTCCCTGTATTTCCGGCTGCATGCAGAGGGAGCCCTTGGAGGTGTCACAGTTTTCGAGGTTGACTTTCCAGAAGTTGCCCGGCGCAAGGCTGCCTTGATCAATAGCAATACTTGCCTGAAGGACATGTTGCCAGATAGGGAGACTGTCTCAAATCAGCAGACTAGTAGGATGTTCACTGTACCACATATTAATATATTAATAGATTATATTACAAAACATAACCGCTTAAATTGTATAGTACTGTTTATAAACGTTATTATCCATACAGATTTGTGCATATTTTGCTAGTAATCTTGTCCAACCCTGCCTTTCATCCCTAAAATGTAATGTTAAAACATTTGCGATATGTTTCTTGCTTATGTGTAGATGCTGTGTTCATCAGAAGTGGTCATTATAATCTCATTGGTGTGGATGTCAGGAAGGAGCAGGAGGTGGAGGTGACTCTGAGCGGAGCTGGACTACAGTGGGACGCTCCCACACTTGTCTTGTCAGAGGTCGTGCTGACTTATATGGAAACACAATGGTGAGAATGTGAATTCAACTTTGACTTGAATTGCAATGATTTGCATATGTGCTCCTGAACCATTGAACCTTGGTGCTTATTCCATTGATTGAGCTTTGAGTCTTGCCTGCAACATATCCTGATCTCATTGCTATTTTGTCTTTGTAATAGCTTTCTTTTACTTTCTACTACAACTGTTTAACAAAAGAGAGGCCATATCAACTGTAGACCAAACAGACCAGCTCATTTTGAACATGTGTTTTGGTGATTTTCTCCAGGTCAGATGCTGTGATTGGCTGGGCTGCCAAGTTACTCCCACAATCTGTGTTTGTGATGTATGAACAGATCCACCCAGATGACCCGTTTGGCAGGGTCATGCAGAACCACTTCCTGAAGCTCAATTCTACCATACACGCTCTCAAACAATATCCAGACACTGTCGCTCAGACGCAGAGATTCATACAGAAGGTATGCCTGAAATTAATGTTTCATACCCATTTCTTTTTTTAATACTATGTAGCCATGTAATAAGCAGGATTATGAAACTGTTTATTATTCAATATGTACATCTTCAGATTAATAAAAGACCTGACCGGGTCACAGTGTCGGGTGTATTTTATGATAATGACTGGCTGACTGTACATAATACCTATATATATATTTTTAACTATACTTTATGAACATGAATGCAATCATTTCAATTAGCATTTTAATTATGTTCATTTCTGAAATTTGAAGGTTGTATTGACCTTATATGCATGAAGATTTCGAAGTGTTAAGGTTTGAAGCGATACAAAGATAAATAATATATACACTATGATTTTTTTAACAATACTTCAATACTTTTAATCAGCATTGGTGCATTAAATTGATTGAAAGTGACAGTAAAGACAGTAATAGTAATTTTTATCTCAAATAAATGCTGTTCTTTTGATCTTTGTATTCATCAAAGAATCCTGATAAAAATATTACAATGTTTTCAACACTGATAATAATAAATGTTTTTGTGCACCAAATCAGCATGTTAGAATGATTTCTAAAGGATCATGTGACACTGAAGACTGGAGTGATGACTGCTTTGCCATCACAGGAATCAATTACATTTTTAAATATTTTAAACCTTTAAAAATCATACCAACTTTTAAATGCTTAATTGTCAATAAGACAGGTAACTGGTCTTTGTCTGCCACAGGGCTGGGAAAAATGTGTCTGTCTGGATATGAACCAGTTCTACTTTGACCTTCTTCTTGAAGATGAGAGGCAGAGAGTCGAGGGACTGGAGCCTTTTGATGAGTTTGAGGTGAGGAAACCACCATAATCCCAGCAAAGACCTTTGAGTGATTCCAGAATCACCACTCAATCTGACCTAATGCCTGATCCCAGACCTGTGTTTATCTTTATGATAACAGGAATGGAACCAGAAATGTTCCCATTACTTCATCCTTACAGCCTCCAAAGGCTCTGTGACCAATCAAGCACTTCTCACGCTAGCGAAGGGTAAGTGTTGGTAAGATATTTGGTATTATGTGTATCACTAGGTGAGACAGTGTAGTAGAGGTACATGTGCTCTTTTCACTCCTAGTGTCCTCCATCCCTCACATGACTCCTCAGTGGACCGAGCGTCCTCCCCTGGTTATTCAGCCCATGTGTGGGTCTCCGAGTATAGAGGCTGTTGGTATGGCTTCTGCTGTCCTGGCACCTGGAATCATCTTACTCACCGGAGGCTGTGGGAGAAGTGGAAGAGACACAGCAGCGAGGGTCCTGATCAAAGAGAAGGATGGCTGGAAGTGTGCCTGTGTGGACGCTCATGGAGATAAAGGTGATTTGATCAGTGCTTTATTTTTGCTTTTGATAATGGTTTCCTTATTGGAATTTTTCTAAATAAACTGTATGACCTGTCTGTTAGTAAATGAACAAACTTAAAAGTATTTATCGCTTTATGTGAGTGCCCTGTGTGTTTTATGTTATTAATAGATTTTTGGTGATATGAAAATCTGTAGGATTTGAAAACTATGTAATCTCTAAGGTTTTGTTTAATTCATTATTAAACAATTTGGTGTAGAGACCAGTCTAATTATGCATGTATGCATATCTTTGTCTCACATTTCTTCTCCTCAGTGGTTAGTCTTTATCAGACGTTGACCTCTATCCCTGGAGGTGGAGCTGTCCTCTTCGGTGGCAGAACTTCTCCACTCAATCCAACAGACAGTGTTGTGTGTGTGACCTTTGACCCTGGTAACGAGCAATCCCAAAGTGCTGTACAGCTGTCATTTAGGAACATGGTTTGCACCGGCACTGGTCCAAAACCACGATGGCGACACACATCAACCTTGATATGTTATAAAGGTTAGAGATTTTAGTCTAGTTGTTTTTCAAAATGTTCTGATTATAATGAGCAAAATAATAACTTCTTAATGTATCGTTCCAGATAAGACCTTTCTATTTGTGTTTGGAGGACGTACAGAGAAGCTTTTGATAATGGTTTCCTTATTGGAATTTTTCTAAATAAACTGTATGACCTGTCTGTTAGTAAATGAACAAACTTAAAAGTATTTATCGCTTTATGTGAGTGCCCTGTGTGTTTTATGTTATTAATAGATTTTTGGTGATATGAAAATCTGTAGGATTTGAAAACTATGTAATCTCTAAGGTTTTGTTTAATTTATAACAATTTGGTGTGCATATCTTTGTCTTATATTTCTTCTCCTTAGTAGTTAGTCTTTATCAGACATTGACTTCTATCCCTGGAGGTGGAGCTGTCCTCTTCGGTGGCAGAACTTCTCCACTCAATCCAACAGACAGTGTTGTGTGTGTGACCTTTGACCCTGGTAACGAGCAATCCCAAAGTGCTGTACAGCTGTCATTTAGGAACATGGTTTGCACCGGCACTGGTCCAAAACCACGATGGCGACACACATCAACCTTGATATGTTATAAAGGTTAGAGATTTTAGTCTAGTTGTTTTTCAAAATGTTCTGATTATAATGAGCAAAATAATAACTTCTTAATGTATCGTTCCAGATAAGACCTTTCTATTTGTGTTTGGAGGACGTACAGAGAAGGATCCAGTTCTAGGTGATGCACATTTCCTGTGTTTGGAGGACAAACACTGGACTGAGGCATGACTTCTCATCTTTGTCATATTAAAACCTAATGAAAACATAAACACAAACGGGGACACTACAGTTAAAAAGTTTGGGGTTGTAAGTTTCAGCAGCCATTACTCCAGTCTTCA